AGGGCCCGGAGGTAATTGAAGAATGCTGACATTATTGACAATTGATATATATTTGGTATTATTAACATAAATATTTGGCTCATATATTATTAAATTCATGATTTTTTATTACATAAATGTTTCATAAATAAGTATGCATACTTGTAAAGCTATAATATCTTATATATTGCAGAAAAATTTCAATTTCTTCTCTGCCGTTATCATCTCTGTTGATAATCAAACTTTGACAATAATACTGAAATTACAATTTTAAAGAAAAATCGAGCAGTATTCTAAATGCATAAATGCGTCTACTAAACTAATAAATCACAAAATTAGTACAATGTTTTCAGTTTTTAACTCTTAATTACTTCAATATTTATGAGGACGCGAACTCCCGTAAGGATGTCGGTCTTTAATAGTATCTCGTCGGTGCTAAGATGAATAATGCCCGTATTTATACCGCCGAAAATTTACCCAGAGTTGACAGTCTTTAATAGCATCTCGTCGGTGCCTTGGTGGAAACTAGGCCAATAACCTTCGAGGATGCGCAGTAGGAGAGTGAATTGTAACGAAAATTTGATTGGCTATTCCAATATGCCAACGCTATTATACGCAGGAAGGTGTATTGTGGCGAAAATTTGGTTGAGATGATGGGTTGTTTCCAGTATTGCTATCGCCATGATGCGCAATGATACACATTGGGCGAGCATTCAAGTCGGCAAAGCGGCTAGTCTGCTTGTCGAGTAATTAAACATGATTGGTTGGATCTACAAATACGAACCAATCATGCTCATTCGTTCGGCAAGCGTGCCTAACCACTTTGTCGTCTTGAACTCGCCCATTGACTGGTCAAAGCCTCGCTACAAATGCCTTGAAACATACGATGGACCAATTAGAAGAAAGAATTTTACAAACTGACCAATTAAAAAATACTTCAAAGTCTTTGTAGCATCGCGTTGACCGTACCCTTTGTATTCTTACATTATGATTGCCGAGTGTGCCGTATGGCAGTCGTGTCGCGTTTGTACTCGAATTTCAAAAGAACGGTTCCTCCTGCAACATCTGTGAATCTGACGAGTAACGAGGGCGAGTCCAGGTGAATTGACGTGAACGAGACCTGCGAAGAGACTTCCGACTCGTGAGCCAGAGAATGGATGGTCATCGGGCGTCGCGATTTCTGGCGCTCGCGGCATCGACGAGCCTGCTCCTGGCCACGTACACGCCGGGCCACGTAGCCGGCTCGGGAGTGCTGCAGATACGTGGTATACCGGTGGCGAAGAACTCATTGTACCGGCCGGATCGCGATTTCGAGTGTCTCGACGGCAGTCGGCTGATATCGTTCACCCGGGTGAATGATGACTATTGCGACTGTGGGGACGGTAGTGATGAACCCGGGACAGCGGCGTGTACCAACGGTGTCTTCTACTGCGACAACGCCGGTCACAAGCCCGCCTACATACCGTCCTCGCGGGTGAACGACGGCGTGTGCGATTGCTGCGACACGAGTGATGAGTACGCGTCCAGAGTAGAGTGCATCAACAACTGCAACGAGCTGGGCCGGGAAGCCCGTTTGGTGCAACAAAAAGTGGAGCAATTAGCACGAGAGGGTAACAAGCTGCGTGTAGAGCTAGTGGCCAGAGGTAAGACCATCAAAACGGAGCACCAGTCACGTTTGGCCAAGCTGAGAACGGATTATATGGAAGCGGAGTTGATCAAGAAGGAAAAAGAGCTGTTGAAGAAACAAGCTGAGGAATTGGAGAGCATAGCGCTTGAGAAGTACAAACCCGCCGAAACAGAACAACCGACAACTGAAGAAGCCGTTGGGGAGGAGGAAGAGGAAGACGAGGACTTGACTGTTTCTGAAGTGGAAGATTATTTCAAAATACTGGATTCAGATTCCAGCGGTACAGTAACATTAGCGGAGCTGCAAACCAGGGCTACATTTGATAAGAACAGGGATGGTGCCGTGTCAGAGGAAGAAGCGTTGTATTTCCTTGGCGATAAGAAGGAAGTCACTCTACAAGAGTTTACAGATAACGCTTGGGCAAACATCAAGCCTTTCTTGATGTTGGAACAAGGTAGATAACATCTAAGCTCACTATCTTTTTTTCTACAGTCTGTATACTATCAATTTTGTTACGTAATTGCAGGTATATTCAAAGCGGCAAAGGATAGAGGAGAGATAAACGAGCATCAGCCTACGGATGACTTGGATCACGAGAAGGAAGGAGAGATTCCTGATGAAGAGGGAGAGGAGGTACCCGAGGAGGAACACGAGAAGGAATCACCAGAACCAGAAATTCAGTATGACGAGGAGACACAGGCACTCATCGATGAAGCTACCAGTGCTCGCGAACGTTTCCAGGAGGCAGAGAAGGCTATCAACGAGTTGCAGTCAGAGATTAGACAGTTGGAGGAGAAGCTAGGCCGTGATTACGGGCCTGAAGAAGTGTTCGCGTCGCTTGACAGCGAGTGCTTCGAGTACGCGGACTTGGAGTACATTTACAAATTGTGTTTGTACGCCATGGCAACCCAGAGGTCCAAATCCGGTGGTAGTAGCGTCAATCTTGGTCACTGGAACGAATGGGTCGGACCGACCGATGCCAAATACATTAAGATGAAGTACGATCGAGGTCTCACCTGTTGGAACGGCCCGGCGCGTTCCACAATTGTCACTTTGTCATGCGGAACGGAAAATAAGCTCATGTCCGTAACGGAACCGAATCGCTGCGAGTATGCCATGGAGTTCTCCACGCCGGCGCTCTGCAATCCTAACACAGCGGAGACCGCCGACAAGCACGATGAACTGTAAACTCGTGGATTTGTATAGTAAAATGAAAATTGCGCGATTAGTCGCACATACAATGTGAATGTCAGGCACTTAAGCTCTTTCGGTGGACCGCGAGATGCGAGCATCGAGTTGCAAGAATCGATAAGAAATAATTTTGAAATAAAAAATCCATCTTTCGCAAGTATTTCCAATGCAATCGCGATTAATAATGTAGCTAGTGATCTTTTTTATTTCAATGAATATCTGTCCACCGGTTGGGACCCAATATTACGTTTTTGTTTCCAGATTAGCTATAGCAGTCATTACCGTTTAGCATTTAGGCGATAGAGATTTCCACAGAGATTTCAAGACGGTTGTCGTACCTTTTTATCGATACCTAGTATCAAAATTTGTACTCTGTTAAAGATGAAATAAGATCAATGTATTTTATCCATTATCATTGTCAACGGAGCCTAGTCATGTGTTGGTTTGATAAAAAAATTCAATCGCTCTTATATTAATAAATCGTGGATCGTTCGAAATCGTTATATCCCATTGACATGTTATATATTTTACTGACCATTAAAACTCGCATATCATCGGTCCACAATATATTAATAAAAAAGGCGAAAAAATTCCTTGATCAACCTAATTAAATACAATACATGAATATATATCATTTAAATAATAATAACTTTAGTAAATTCAGTACTTTGTGTGTGACACAAGAATGATAAATGTATTAAAATGTTTCCGCTGAAATGTGCCACTATACTGTACGCAAATTACAACGATTATGATCGCGATCAATAATTCGTCCTTGCATCCGAGAAGTTGCATAATATTGAACTTGATTCGCTAGTAGTCTAGATAAAGTAATTATCTAGAATCTTATCCTGTCGTGAAACCACAAAGACCACATTGTTACGCGCGAATTCATTGCCAACGTGTTAAAAAAAAAAAACTCGCTGTTACATTCCTCTTTTTGTACGTACACGAAGCGTTTCTATGTGATCTAAAAATATATAAAATCGTACGTGATGTAACGTCATGACTGACGTAAAAAAATCTGATTGAGATGTACTTTGTATTACTTAGTACACATAGCGTCACAAATGTCTTAACACATGAATTGCACGAGTATCGAAGAGGGAATGAGAAAGCATGAGAAAGAATGAAAAGGTATGAAAGAGCATGTTAAAATATTTGTAACGCCGTGTACATACGAGTACCGATAAGAGAAAAAAAAAAGAATTCACATCTTTTTTGGGATTCGATTATCCACACGTACGTATAGACGATGTCCTAATGTTCCGCATTATACACTTAAGTCGGTGATTTTGTAATTTTTTAAGGACGCACCACGGAAATGGCGTGAATATTGTGGGATGTGCATGTAATAAAAAAAGAGAAAGGAATTCTGTTGTCGAACCGTAATTTGCGATGGCAGCTTTATTTACATCAATGGAAAGAAAATCTGTTGAGTGTAAATGCGCGCGTGTATGTATGTCTGTGTGTAGAATTTCTCTTGTTATTCTGTATATTATTATATATAATATTACAGTAACGTGGTGGTTAAATCCAGTTTTCTCTGTTTTACTCTTAAGAGACAATCTTTGCATCTTGCGGGATTCGAAACGTACGTCCATTATCTCAATAACTAAATGGGGGGGAGGGGGTTGATATTTCCCGCATTTCCTATATTTCAGTTTCTCAATTGATTCGGTAAGGCACTTGAAAGGCTACAAAAAATCATTTCTTCCTTGCGAAATTCGAAGAGGGTAAGACGATATGCTCTATACAGCCTTTTCAACGCATTCTGGATCAGCAAGAAAAATTGGGTAATCACATGCTACCGCCGACTATCGACAATTTCACAATTTTCCTCCTTATACATCCAGATTATCCTTCTTTTAACAATTTTTTATAGGCAGTTAATTAAATCGAGACAAGGGTATCAATATCACTTAGTGATATGTTTCATCGACGAGGAATTGTAGGCTCATTTTAACATAATTCGATTACGCATTACACATGTAGGCAGTCTGTGGACAATTCGTGTGGGAGATTAATACGTTTCTTGTATAGAATAAACAGATTTTTCGAGAGCGTCAAAAATATACAATTGCACACGTAACATTTTTTAAACCGTCGTATTACGTTAGCTTACATTTCGCGTTTCTTCTACATTTATCAATGTTAATACTATAATGTGTGCCAAACATATATTTATATATTTCTTTTTCTTCAAAATCATTAAAATGATAATGCACAACTTTGCTATTCCTTTCGTATTTACACGATACGGGATGATATACGGTATTTATAAATGCATCACGTCGAAAGGATCACATCTTTGCTACAACTACTGTACAACTATCTGCGAGCGAAATAAAGCTCCCTATGAGGATGTACGCATTCGCGAATGCGTTTCCGTGATGGTATAATCTCAAATGTTGGAGTTTCTCAGTCGTATAAAAAAAAAACCACAAATGTGAAAATTGAAAGATGTTGCAGGTGGGACTGATTTCCCTAATAAATGCATCAACGACGAAGCACAGCCAATTATCAACGTGAACTGAAAGTTTTTTTGATTTCCAAAATTAGACCGCGCTGTCGTGATTACATTTTGATTAATTAATATACAAATATATGAACAAATTATTTAGAAATAATTTAAATACCAAACATTCATTTTGGTACCTCAACAATTTTTACTTTCTCTAGATATATATATTTTATATATGTATGTATATTTAAAAGAATATGTCGCAATTGAATACTTTTACTCGTATATATATATATGATTACTCGTTGATTTTTTTATTTCGTATCCACAGTTCTGTGGACGATAAAAAAAATTGTCTATGAAAAATAATTATTTGCAAATTTAATTCTTGATTTCTTTCGTTTTTTTACTCCATTCATAATCCAAATAGCTCCAATAGGGAGAATACTAGTCTACAACATGCGTATTTACCAAGCGCTAAACGAGATCGTTTATCTTTTCTCGCATTTCCCGTGTTTTCTCTTCTTGCATTAAGCATCGGTTGTTATAACAAAGCGATCCGTTAATCGAAAAAAGAATCGTGAACAATGGTTCCATATCGTTTGATCGCGTTCATTTTCCGAGTTTCTCGAACATGATCAGCTTTTCCTTGAAGCTCTTGGTGTCGGTGGACACCTCCGATATGTTTCCGTTAAGCATGTTTTGCAGGTCCTCATCGTTCTTATTGCTCACTAGCAGATTGTCGAAAAGCATCTTCGTGTCTTCTTGCTTCGCCACCGGCGACGACGGCTGCGATGTGCTCATTTGCTTCTTCTTCGGATAAATGATGGAGCCTCGTTGATTATTTCCGTTGTCCGTCACTCTGGTCATTATTGTGATGGCCAACAACTGTTGGATACCTAAGTTCTCCTTAGATACTGGCTCAGAAGATTGACGCCAGTAGTATTTATTGTCGGCAGAAATGAGCGATTTGGAGTCTTCGGTATCGTCTCCCATCGACGTTTGATCGGAATCGGTTGCTGGTACGTTTCTGCTAGACCACGAATCCTGAAAAATTATTAAAAATTAATTCTCTATATCATCGAGAAAAGAATTAAGAAAATATTTGGAGAATACGGTTAGAAAAGCTGTTTAACTTACATTTATTATGTAATATTTGTATAATTTAACATTTATTGTAAATTTTGTTATTATCTTGAAGCCTGATAAAAAAATAAGTTAATACTAAGAAAATTTATTCATTTAATTGCCGTAATTTCTTCTCAGATAAGAAGAAAAACTAGAAAAATACTTTAATCCTCGACTACTGTAACGAGTCATTTGAACGAAGCGAAAATTTTTTAATGATTGTACATGTTTTTACGATTAGTGCTATTCTAGAAATTCTAAATTGTAGATAAAAAGACTATAAATCTTCTCCTATCAATCACCGTAAGACGGAAGATTTCACTTGAACTGTACTTCAAACAGGATGCTTTAGAACTTAGATGTAGTTTTTATAGCTGTAATTGAGGGTTAATGTATATTATTTTCCTGTCTTTCATAAAATCTTACATTTTTTTCACGCCTATCTATCACGCTATCTGTAATCTCCTCTTCTTTCCTATCCTGCTCCAAGTCTTTCTCCAGACTATCCAACGTCTCGGTGCTCTCCGATGATTTGTTCCTCCTCTCCGAATCCAGAGTATCCGTGCTACCCAGTTCTGAGCTTTCAGAGGATTTCTGGAGTCTCGATGGTTTTCTGGTAGGAGTCGGTCGCTTCTCTCCCTCGTGGTCATCTCCAGAAACTACCATATCCACTATACTGGTACTCGGTATTCTTTTAGGCGTTCTTCTGACCCTCCTGTTCTCTAGCCTATCCTCCACGTCCAAATTATCCGAACTCTCCGAGGACATTCTCTTGCTTGATCGTCTACCGCCCACCTTTGGCGCGTCATCCAATATCAATTCTGCCTCGACGTCGTCCTTCATGTCATTCATATCGATTCTCTCAAAGTTCTCGGACGATTTGGATATGCTCTTCGATAATCTTCTTCCGCGCGATAAATTGATGTCGGACACGCTGCTTCTCTTCTGCAGTTCTTGGCTGATTTCGTCGCCGGTGCAGTCGCTCTGTTCAAGCAGGTCAAAGCTCTCCGACGATTTAGACATCGCCTTCGAACTTCTACGCGCTCGGAAGTCGAAACTGCTTCGTCGTCGCTCCATCGAATCATCGCTGGCCAGCGGTTCGATCGCTTCCAAACTGTCTGATGATTTAGAAACGCGATCAGTGGATTTCGAGATTGGATTCAACAGTTGTCTTCTGACCGAAGCCACTGGTTTTACGGTCTGTTCGTACTCCATCAGTTTGTCGAAGCCGTCTTCGGTGGATTTGGAGAACCAACAGCCGGGAGATGAATCCAGACTGTCGGGCGACTTGGACAATCGATTTGACGAAGATCTTCTACGCGGTAGTTTTGCTTCCAGTTCCTCAAACACGTCGGAACCCTTGGATATCCGGTTGGATGGCCTCCTGGCGACTGGTATCCATCTGACTTCTGCCTGCTGTTCCTCGGTAGCAGTGCTGTTTATCTCGGCGCTGCTTCGCGACGCCGTTGTAGCGTCCAGACTATCTGGCGATAACGATGTTGCGCTTGGTTTTCGCGGCAGCTTTGACTCCAACTCTTCAAAGATGTCGGAATTGCGGGACAGTCGGCTCGACGACTTCCTAGTCACGCCAATAGTCCTAGATGGTTCCGTTGGTGACGGCGCATTGCTAGTCGATTGGAGCAGTTGCTGCTGTTGTTGCTCTTGTTGCTCCAAACTGTCCAAGGTGTCCTCAGCGATGGTCGGTGGTATCGATGGCGAACTGGGTGCGGCATTGTTGGGCGATGTCGTCGTCATCGTGCGACGCGGTGGACGCCGATTCTTTGGACGCACGGAGATCCGGTGATGCGCTGCAGTGTGGCTCAAGCTCGCGCTTTCTAGTTGCGCTGTTATAAGCGGGAAAAAATTGCATTTATTAAAATTATTATATCGCGCAAAGTATGGCAATTTAACATAAATATATTGCAGAATTTATAAAATATAATATCTAGATGTAATCTATATTGTCAATGTGATAGTAATTGTTGATTCCAAACATATTTTTAAGACGTACAAAGTAAAGCATATTTACTAAAGAATAAATTATTATAAATCATTTTGTATTGTTTAAAAAATGACTGGTTATGAATTTGAGTTCAATGGCATCATTGGTGTGAAATACTTTTTAGTTAACTTTCTCTCATGTTTTTCTACGTCTCTTTAATCTAACGTTTCCTTACATTTTCATGTACAAGCTTGGATTCCAACTAGATAGTGTAAATCGCAATTATCTGAACAATTTAGCGTGTTGCGAAGCAACGAAACCGTGAGTAATATTCTATGAGACTTACGTAAATCTTCCTTGGCTACCGGAACAATCCGATCAACCGTGTCTTTCGATCTCGTAATCTATATTAAAAAAAAAAACAAAGATTTCTTTCATTATTTAGTTAATCAGATTAAACTCATATAACGCACTGCTAACGAATCTCATTTCGCGACTTCTTGTTTTGATTGTCGAAAGTTCGCGTATAAAAGGGAAAAGGAAAAAATAAAGTTCGTAAAAAATTAAAATTTTCATAAATTGCTATCCCTGCTTAACTTATCTCTAAAATAATAGTATTGATTAATTAAAATTAATAAAATAGTGAACAGTATTTCTAGAATCTCCAAGAAAATACGCGTTACAAATTGCGACGAGTATTTCCTTATCAACCGTCGAAATTAATTTAAGAAGTTGATAGGATTGATATTACAAATGATATTAATTAAAAAAACCTTACAGATCTATTTTTTTTTTTCAAGAACGTCGAAAGACACATATTCCAACCTCCTCTTTTTTAAGTACATTTCTGTATTTAATTTATATCAGTAATCTACATATGTAATCTCTTTTAAATGTAGTATTAATGGTCTAAGCTGATATCAATGAATTAAAATCAATAATAAGTATTTCTGGAGTCTCCGCTCTAAAAGAAAACACATCTAACAAATTATAACAAATATTTCTTTGTTCGTTATCAATAAAATTAATACAAGAAGCACTCAAAGAAGCGCGTGTGCCAAAAATGTCACCTGGCAAATTTCATCAAAAATAAGATCTCTGATCGTGAGCTTAAACAGTCTCAAATGCGAGATTGTTTTCGATTTGCTAATTAATTTGCATGAATGTGAAAAGAGATCCCGCGCGGACATAACGTGATTCTCGGCGCCGGTAACGGCGCCGATAATTCTCAACAGGTGAACCAGGTAAAGCGAGCACGTCGCCTGGTCGTTCTCTAACGGTATTGACCACCGTGCGAGCCGAGTCGTCGAGTGTGTGGTGCGGCCACTTAACCGCGATCGACTTCGGAAACCGGTCGCAGGTGCGTCGCCGCCTGCTTTCGGTACTAAAGTCATTTTCCGAAGGAGAGAAGGAGATCTATCGCGCACAACGCGAGAAAGAAGAGGATAACGAGAGAGAGAGAGAGGAGAAAGGATGATGCAAATGAGCTTGGATCGTTCGTCTCTTTAACCGATGTGTAATTGCGCCGACGATTGCGCGATTCACGCGATCTTTAAATCGTCACGTGGGTGTAGGCATAAGAGACGATAATAATGCACGAATGGAGCAACGAATGTGGTCAATCTTCAATCCGTTAAAAGTCATTTGTACGCCAAACACGAAGTTGGACGTGTAAATATCTCAGAGTGTTTGCGGCACACGATCCTTTATCAGAGAGCACTTAATTCAGTTTAAATAATTTTAATATAAATTAGTATATTAATTAATTAATATAAAATATTATTTAAAATATACATATATATATTATATTAATCCGTAATACACACAACGATTTTCACAACAGTTTATTACACTTCAGTCTCGAGTTAATTTTTTATAATTGTTAAAAGTATATGAAAGTTATTAAATGATTCATACATATACTTTGACATCTTTAGAAAGTATTTGTAAGATGATGCATTAAAAAAAATTGTATATAAATGTTATAATTAATTACTTGGTGTATTTCAAAGAAAAGAAATATGCAGGACATGATTATGTGTACTAAAGATTAATAATACAATATAAGATAGATGCCCTCAATACAGCTTAATATCCAATATGACCTTTTTGCTGTTTGTAGGTAATTACTTT